ATTCATTCTTAATTGGCCCGTTCAATACTCTTTCAGACGAGTAGCTTCTGAACCGAACCTCCCAATGCGTGGATTTTACAATCAAATCCACTTATAGTGCTTCCGTTCCCCTCCTCGGGGAACGAAGGGTTACTTTAGTAACCTCGAACGTTATAGCACTCAGTGACAAATGAAATCTACAGAATGTTTGTAAAATACTTCACGTTTGGTATTGATTGAAAGCTAGAAATGTTTCAAATGCATTGGTTTATATGAAGAAACCACACTATGAAAGGTGTTCATGTTATGAGACTTTATTTTAACAACTATGCTATCAAAGCATCACCGACACAATTTGCCAACCCGGCCTTCTAGAGGGCGGAAATGGGGTGTGACTCCACCCCGCAGCTTCTCTGATTGGACAAGTATTGTGTAGACCCAGCCTCTACCAAAGCCTATAAAACTTCTGGGATATCCAACATCCATATCCCTAGCAACCGACTCCATTAATTCCTGAAAGTAAGGAATCCCCTCTTCACCGACGAAGGAATTCCATCACGTCACTGAAGTTGCTACGCTGACCAATCAGCTGCGCCGGGATTTCCCTTTGGACCAGTCGAGGAAACCAAAATTCCATCAGAACGCAAGTAGCACAAACAAGGTTTCTATCCATTGCTGAAACTGGTGTGAATTATATTAAGGTAGTAAAGAATAGCGAAATTCTCTGCTTTTATGGTTTTTCTCAGGTTGCAATGCTAAGAACTTAGCAAAGGCTAGAAGTTGAATCCAGTTAGTCAAAACTCTCCTCAAACTGCTTGTGCTTGTGTGTATGTATGTGCATTTGTTTGTTTTATGTAGATTAGTACTTTGTGTTATAGAGTAGCAATAAACTTTTGTTTCATTTTAAGATCCGTGTCGGTGTGTTGAGTGCTTTATAAGTTAATGCCTCAGCTTCAAATACTGCTACCTTGCTCATTAAATAATTAGATACTGTTTTTATACTGTTGGCCATAATAATAATATAATATAATAATATAATACAGAATTGCTTTACACTAAACGTTCTTTTGCGCATTGGTCTGGAAACGTTCTAGTGCATTTGCTGGACAAATACTTAAGTTAAGTGTACGCTTTAAATAATTCTATGTGAATCATGTTCGAATCTTTGATTTGAATCCCCAAAGTTTAAACATGATTTAAACCAAAGAGCTGATTCTTACATATTATGAAAGGAAACATAAGCTGGACCACAACAGATTAATGGCACAACGAATGCTTAAGTAATGTAGTTTATAGCAAGCATCATGTTTGTAGTTAGGCTCCGTTTACACTGCCAGTTAAATGTAACCCTATTCCGATATTTCGCTCATATGTGACACAGATCGGATCTGTTCTATGACCGTGTGAACACGAAAAAAACACATGCATTCAGATATTCAGAGATTGGTTTCAGGCCTCCTTCATATCTGGAAATAAATCAGATATAGATCGGATATGTGACAATGTGGCTGTCATTTAAACAGGCAGATTGGATTTGAGGCATTCTGTTCTGTACATCATTAAACTTGAGACAATGTGGTGCTTCTCCGTGGTTTAATGACAGAAAGAAGAGTGTGTGTGGAGATGCCGACGCGGTAAACAACATCAGAGGAAATACAGAGAAGGAAAGTGGTCAGTCGCCACGATTCGCTCCCACCAGACCTGAGATCTCTCTCGTACCCACAAATTCCTCTGAATGGTGAAGGACATCATAAAGCATATAAACCATAAGCGCAAGCTGCGATGACGGCCCTTTCCCACCTCCGCTTCAAAATCATTTTAAAGTTGGGCAAACTTTGTGTTGTAACTTTTCCTTTTTGTCACTACTACTACTACTTTGTCACACACTGTGGGCTACACATAGAATAAGTTTATTCTCTTCAACACCAGTGAGCACACAGGCAAAGGCTACAACTTTAACTACATGCACACATCAGGGCCATACCATTACATAAGCTTGGTTGGCGGTAAATCTGGACTAAATCATTCAAACCATACTACACTTTGCATATTTCGCAGAACTAAAACAAGACAATTTCTTCCATTGTGGCTAGTGTGACACAGATGCTAGAACCCGCCTTCATGCATGCGCTACATCTTAAATTGTATGGCAAGTGTAAACACATGAATTGGATATGGATCACAATCAAACAACGTGTAAACAAACAGGCAAACAAATCAGATATAGGCAACAAATCGGAATTGGGCATCAAGACCTGACAGTGTAAGCAGGGCCTTAGATTGTGCCATCTGTCATAATAGTATACAGCAAGTCTATAGGTCTGTTATTTTTACTAAAGACGAGTTTCACCACAACTGTAAAAACTGTATTATGTTTAAAAAAAAGAAACAGCACATTATCGGGATAGGATCTGTATCTGTATCTGTCGATACGATAAATTTGGTATCAGGATTGGATCGGTTTTTAAAAAATTGTATTGGTATATCCCTAGTTTAAAAGTGCTAGTATAGATCAGAAAAAATGGATTGGAGACTAGACCCACTGCAGGACAGTTACTGTTAAAAGAATCAATAGAAGAAGGCCAGTTTGGAAGTGCTAATATAGATCAAGAAAATGTAGCGACTGGAGTCATTGCAGGAGAATTACCGCCTGAAGAATCAGGAGAAGAAAGCCCATTTAGAAGTGGTAGTAAAGATCTGGAAAATGTAATGGAGAATGGATCGACTGCAGGAGAGTTACAGTCAGAAGAAACAAGAGAAGAAAGCCAGCATAAAAGTGCTGCAAATAAAGAGGATGTAATTGCAAACTAATGGTTTTAAATAGTCCTACTAACCCTGCCCACATGCAGATATTTAATATTAATGTGACAGATATATTGAAACGTGTGAGAAAGTCAAACCTTGCCAGCCTGTTATGACATTCCCAAAAAAATGCAGAAGGACAGTCTCTTTAAAGGGAATGGTAGACAGATTGCCAATGGTTGGAATATTCACCTAAAAATGATGCCATCTACTGCTTTGGTTGTGGCATTTCTCTAAGAGAAGAAAAGTTCAATGACAAAACAGCCTGGAAGACATTAGGCATAGATACATGGAGGAGTGCCATTGGAAAAATTAAAGAGCATGTCAGCACAGAGGCCCATATGATAAGCATATTCAGGAGAAAACAACACAAGAGAGAGAGAGAACGACAAAGGAACAGAAAAATCCTAACATGCTTGATTAACATTTTCTTGTATCTGGCATGATAGGGGCAAGCTTTAAGGCAGGCAACTTTTGCTGCTACTACTTTAGCACTACGCTGGAGGGGATGATGATACAAGCTCAAGTGCCAACCAAGGCAACTTTATTGAACTTGAGAAAACATTGGCCGAATACATGTAATGATGCTGCATTTGGATGCCATCCATGAAAAACAAGCCTCCATGGAAAGACACCAAGTGTCCCTTCTTTCAAACATAAGCCAGATTGACATAATAATGTCTTTGGATACCTTCATTAGGAGGAAAATACATAATTAAATCATAGAAGCTCAAATCCTCTCGATCCTTGTGGATGAGACCACAGATGTCTCTCACAAAGAGCAGGTATCCTTTGTAGTTCGCTATGTAAGTGACATGGAAGTAAAGGAGCATTTTCTACAGGTCTGCACTCTTTGAGTCCACAACAGGAAAAAAGTTGGAGAATATTGTCATCTCTTTCCTTCAAGACAATGGACTTGACTTTAAGAATATCAGGGGTCAAGGATATGATGGAGCTGCAAACATGAGTGAAATGTACAAAGGTCTACAGTCCAGAATATGTGCACACAATGAAAAAAACTCTGTTTATTACCAGCTACGCTAATTGAATTTGGTATTCATTGATAGTACTAAATCCAGTGTGTTGTATATTTAGCTGGTCATTATCTTAAGTTTAATTAATGTGTATATTATACAATTAATAATTAAAGAGCGCAGGTCACATTAGGAGTCTGGTAAATAAGTGATGATGTTGATGTTAGACATGATTACGAGATTTGTCAAGAGTGTGAGAGTTGTGGAACAAGAAAGTGAAGGACAACATTAAAAGTATAAAAAGTTCTATTACATCTTTACAGACATAACACAGTCTGTAAAGATTGTTTTATGACATATTTCTCCTCGTAGAGAAACTGTATGTTTTCTGCACTGGTTCTACAAAGAGGCATACATTATTTTTAAAATGCCAGCAGTCATTGTATCCTGGTCAGCATGTTGTTAATATGCAGAAGTTGTCTGACATTCTGTGGGCCTGCAGAAAAAGATCCCTGAAAGCTGAAAGATTTTGTCCAATGTCTTTCTTATGGTGCAACACTCATCTGTGCAATAAAGTAAAATATTAGTTTTAAAGTGATGTTTTGAATTAGCAACAAGTTTTATTCAGCTGTTTTTATGGTCAAGGAGGGGGTGCACATTTTTGGAATGGGTGATCTAACATCATTTTTAATTATTTATTTATTTTTTGTTTTGGTGAACAATTTCTAATAATTTAACCGATTAAGTATTCAGTCTACTACTTAATTGCAAACAAACATTTTTAGATAACTAGGGTGGTTTATTCAGTGCAGATTAAGTGTGGTAGGCGGCCCAACTTTTTGCAAAGCCCAAAATTGCTAGCAGTGGCCCCTGGTGCTGATATAGAGGAGTATCACACAGCTTCTTATGTAATATTGCTCATATATAATACCTCCAAAACAAAATAACATTTAACAAATTAAAAATGATAAAACAGGTAATATTTTCTCAGTTACACATCTTGGAAAACAATCAATGTTGTGTATGTCACCTTTTACATCAGTTGTTGCACCAAGCTGCAATTGCTAGACAACAAGACAACCCTACACCAGATGCTGTGTGTTTAAAGTTTTCTGTTTGATGTAAAATAATGTCATACATATTGTTTTGATTACATTCTAAAATTAAAATCAATTAATTAATAAAAACCTGAATTCTGCTTATATTAATGACATCTTCACACAAACATATAGATGTAATTAGCACCTGAGGTCTCCTCCATTCATGATGGTCATGACCAGGCAGAGGTCTGTTTTGGTCTGGAAAGCATAGGCCAGTGTCACAATGAAACGACTGTGGACTTTAGCCAGGATTCGCTTCTCGATAATTGCACCCTATGAGAAATCAAGGAATAATAAGAAGAAAAAAAACAACAAGGAAAACAAGGTAAATCAGAAATATTTTTAAAATGGTGGCCACATTTAGTTGTGCATGTTGATAAGTTGTTAAATTACTACTGGACAAAATTGTTTGGCTAAAACACGTATTACCAAAAAAATATCTATTTTACATATTAAACATGTTTCAAGCTTTATTTTATTATTTATTATTTATTCATGTTTCTTTATCACACTGACATGGTATGATTTAATAGGTATTATTTAATTGTTGCATCCAAAAAAGTTTGCAAATTATATGATTTTAGCCAAAACTCCATATAGCAATACTACTATACTTGGAAAGCTCTTGCATTATTTGTAAAAATAAAAAATAAAAAAAATAAATAAATAAATAAATGTATATATATATAAGGGCAAATATTATTGGTATTTTAAATACAAAATGCAATTAAGTGTTTAATTACTACAACTAACTACAAAATAATTACAAATAATGTAATACTTATTAAATCAACAATAAGCCTGAAATTAGTTTTCATATAAAAAACAGAGTAAACAGTTTCTGAACAAGACTATAAATGTTAACAAGAGGTTAATTCCATTTACTTCACTAATACCTTTAAAGGCAAGAAGATTATGCTCATTTTACATTCCTTACTGAACTCTAGTTCATTTGCGTTGCTCCTTTCTGCTATGGCTTTCAAAATGTTTTATGAAAATTCCAAAAGACTTCTATCATTTCTTTCATTAATTCCTGAAAACATTTATCTTCTTCCTTATCTCTCGGTCTTATTCTCAGTTGCACCTGAGCTGCTTTTTGGAGTATCAAGCAGAGCCTGCAAGCCTCTTTGCGCTGAGCCAATACACTGCAATTAGAGCTGCTTAAAACCATGTTCTCAGATTAATCTAATCTCATGCCTTTATGTGTCACTTTCCCCTTTTCCTAACTGCTATTTTACCTACTATTATGGAACTTTGGCATTCTTCCACTTGCACAGTTTTGCATACTTATAGGGATTTGAGGTTTGCACATCTCTGGACTAGTCTGGACACTGGATTAATATAATATGTGGTTTGCATGGGATACAAGTGTGTTTTGTTTTGTAATACATGTATCTGTTAACCTCTATCTCTTACGTCATATCCTTTACGTTTCTTCAACCTCTTCTTGTTCAGTTTCTTGTTTGCATACATCTTCCCTGTTGCCTTCATTTGACAAGCATGGACCTCACCAAATCCGCCCTTCCCAAGCACCCTAAAATCCATAAACCAGTCTTCAGCAACAGGCTGGCTCTCAAGCCATTTAAACTGTACATAACGTAGGAAGTACATGCTGTCCTTGAAGCCAGTGAGTGCTTTAGCTTCAAGGTGGACAAGGAGCTGCTGTTCACTCTCTTTAAACAGATCTCCTCGAATGTTCTTGAAGTCCTCTTTCACCCTGCTCACAGCTTTGTCTCCCAGGAAGTCACAGAAGTTTTTGGAGGAAGACTCATAGTATTTGTTGACTATTTTCTGTGCTTTCTTAGCTCGGTCATTTTCCTGGGCAACGATGTAATCTTCGATATCTTTCCACAAATCTACAGGATTCTTGTAATCTGCTTCACTTTCAAGGTATTGTTGAAAGAGACGCTTACCAATTGGTTGGCGTACGCACATACTGTCAAATGAAGTATCCACTATAGTCTTCATTTGTTCACATTGTCTGATGTGTGGCAGGTTGAGCTTGCTACGGTATTTTTTGTCACGCATAGTTGCTGCAGCAGCACCATCTATGCTCCCACGTGCTGAAACATAAGCAGAGTTGGCCACCACAGTCTCCAAACCTCCAATATCCATGTCTAAGAAAGAGAAAAAAAAGCGCTGAAGGGATATCAGGGTTAAACATTTGTTTATACAGTATGTATGTCTGTCTGTCCATCTGTCCTACCTGTCTGTATCTACACGAGTATAAATTACATTATTTGTGTTAACTTTTACAACTGTTAATCAATATATTTAGCATTAGTTATTGCCTCTTCTTCTTTGAGGTACTGCCTAAGGTGGCCTAAGGCTTTAGGGATCAATCACAAACTATAACATTTCGAGTTCACATCTATCAACTCCCTGTAGATCTGTCAATGTGATAAAAGCTTGTCACAAATGCTCTCATCTATTAATTCTCTTTCTCTTGACCTCTCCAGATGGTATGCAAAGAAATTCTTCAGGTTGAAAGCAACAACATCATTGTCATGTTGTAGATTAGCAAAGAGAACTGCAATGTATCTAACCAAAGATGTACATTTAGCTTATGTGAATATTAGAATCTTGTTTGAAACATTTGTGAATAAAGCACTCTATCCATCCATGTGTTCAAGAAATGCTATACATAGATTCACTATAGACAGTAAATATAAACAGTAATGTTGAATATAGACTTTGACTGATGTTTTTTAGATTTATTAAAATAACTTGAGATACTGTCTCATGGAGCTCTGATCCACGCTCACAAGAAGTAGTAAAAATTGATGGCAGTGTTTCCCAGAACAGCCCTGATTCTTTCTCATCCAATTAATGTTAACTATTAATGTTGTCTCACCCTTAATACTTCAAAGCTGTGAATGTGACAGAGCTAAATTGTTTTGCTAAAATAGTAAAATACTATGTCAGTCTCCCTCCATTACATGGTGTGCTTTTAATGACAGCGGGTGACCCGACAAGTTTACCTTCCTGATGATTTATGGGTCAAGAAATACTCATGACCATTTTAAGAGATTTAATTTTTATCTTGAAGTTTCAGGACTTTTCTAAAACGACCCCAACAATTTATATATATATATATATATATATATATATATATATATATATATATATATATACATAAAGACAAATATATATAGGGTACAGCAATTGTCTTAAAGGACAATGTTGGCCTGTCAGTTATAAAAACCATTCCACAAATGTGCACCCCCTCCATTGATATCACAAAACTATTATAATTCTGTCATGAATTTTACAAAAGCATCATTAAGATTTTTCTTGACCTCAACTACAAGAGTGCAGATTGAATAATAAAACCAATTAATTTAAAAATAAATTAATAAAACGTTTTAATGACAAAGTATGTTTTTTCAAAATATTTTTGACACAATTATAATGGCCTCAAGACAATAATGTTTATGACAGATGTATTACTTCTATGATTGATTTATTTACTAACTGATGTCCATACAGTAGTTTTGATGCCTTAGTAATGAGGTAAAGGTCAACTCAAACAATGTCATTTTTGTATTTAAATTACAAAACTGAGTGAATGGCACTTAATGACAGTTGTCATGAGCATGCATAAAATCTCATTCATATTTATGACATATATCATTATAAAGTTGCCATGGCAGTTTTATGAATACCCATTTTAAGTGTTAGTCATTTTGCTATTGAAATTAATTTTTCAAAAGATTTTTGGGTTAACACACAGAGATAAATTTAAGAATGCACAGTTAGGACATCTCACTTAAGTAAAAGAATGCTGAAAATATGTCTGTACTTTGTTTCCTGTCCTTTTTCATATATATTGATATGTTTAGTTTTAAACAACTTTTAATTAAAAAAGCCAAAAGCATAATACACCTGTGTATTTTGAATAGTTTGCATCTGTATAATTTGCGAAATGTCTCAACAAATAATAAATAAGTTTTACCCTTGCCACATCACACCAGCATAATGTATGCACAACATTAAAAAAAATCATCTTATTACATAAATAATTCATCTTTAATCTCCCTACCTTTGTTTTTGTAACTCTCCCCTTTGTTGAATCCTTGTGACAAAATAAAACCAATTGAGGTTTAAAAGCTCCCAGAATCAAATCCAAAGCATCTGTCCTCTTTCATTCAGCATTGTAAACTTGGATCGCGCACTGGTACAACCTCCCTCAAGATAATGTAATTTATTGGCTTGCCTCATTCTTTCTTTCCCTCCCTAGTTTCACTCTTGGTTTGATTGCAAATAAGAGAGAAGAGTGAGGGGGAGCTTATAGTCCATCTGAAATCCAAACCGATAGTTCATTAGGCTATGTGGATTATGGTCCGTGGCTTAGAATGGAAGAGACTTGTCACAGTCTATTAGTGTAAGTCTCGGTGGGTCAAGTTATCAAAAGGTCACTGCACAAGCAACAAGCCCCTGATCAGGATGCATTAACTGCTGTCACTCCATCTTGTGTGACTTGGTCTCTGTCAGAAATTAGTCATTCGAGATTAAAATGGCAGTAATGTGCACAGGAAGGTTTTTTTTTTACATTACAATACAACATTACATTTCATTACTTACACATGAGCCATGTTTGTCCTAATGAGCCCTGAATGAAGAAATAAGAAAAGCATTTGTAAAATTTGTTTAGAAAGCGAACAATTGCTACAAGCATTCACGCATTTCTGGAAATAAATTTCAGCTTTGTCATTCTGTGTGTAACCATTCTGAACTGCAATCTAATGGTTAGATACATTTTCTGACATTTAAATAAATTTGGCTCTTAAAAGAAAATCACACAGTTAAATCAATTATGAGCTGTTGAGTTGCACTTAATGTTTGTGCTCTCACTGCACCTGCACAAAATCAGAAATACTCACACAACCTGGTTCACAGTGTTACAACAGTAACACGGGACCAATCATGGTAAATCACACAAAGAATAAAAAATGCATGATATTCTAATCATATATTTGATAGATACAAACTAATTAAAAAAAGGAATTAATATGCATTCATATGCATAATGTGAGCAGTCAAGTCACAATCAGGCCTACAGTGTGAATACAGTGTGAGCAAATTAATCATGAGCTTTGGCTTTACAGTGTGAGCTGGTACACTATACAAAAAGATTTGTTAAATAAACTTCACTTAATCAAGTCACATTGTTGCATTCGCTGGGGGTGGGTTGAGTGCAGTCTGGTGAAGGTAGTGGATGCCGTGTTCTGTTGTCTGTTGAAAAGAGAGGAAGAAATGTTAGCATCTGTGTCAGTCTCACAGAAAAAGTGGTGTCTTCTTTGTCACAGTCACAGTATAATTCCTTAGCGATTGAATTAGAGGTTGCTTTTCTAAAGAGCACTGGCTCGGGTAAGCGTGTAGCGTAACCGCCAACTACAAAAACTTATAGTTTTCATAACAATCATTTATGAGTGTGTGTGTCAGGTTTTGTACCTTGGAGACTAGCGGGACTGAGCCAGGGCAAACACAGTATTACACAGTGATGTCTGCTTATCTCCTCCTAAAACAGCTTCTGCAGACAATGTGTGATGTTTTGAATGTTTTTAATATTTTTGTGGCAGATGAACACAAGTTGCTTTCTTTATGTCCAAAACTAAAAGATTCAGTAAAAGTAGAATGACTGCGATATGTAGCAGTCTTTCCATTTTGGCGCTAGGCTTTTGTAACCGTCACCTAACAACAGCCGTAAACAAAACAGCAGCTCGATGAAGCAAGCGTACCATGGTTCAGGAGGAAAAAACACAGTGTGAACACACTCCAACCGAGAAGGCAGCAAGGGGGGAAAATTAAACTTGGATACAGTCCAGGCAATTGAACCAAGTGTAAAAGCACCCTTATTTACAATCCAGAAAGTAAGTGCAATGAAAAAAGGTAAGAAGTGCTCGTAGTATAGGCTTCTGGATGTTGAGTAGGGTGTTCTTCAGGGGTGGGTTGAGTGCAGTTTGATGAAGATGGTGGATGCCGTGATCAGTTGGTCGAGTCTGTCGAGAGAGAAAGAGAGAAATGTTAGAGGTTATAGCTAAATTAAGTAGTGGTCCCTTCTGGTTATATTCTCTCTCTTTGGCAGCAGGTTCTGGTGATGAGGTGAGTCCATGTGATTATGGCTCTCTGGCGACATTGGAGAGAAGTACTGGCCACAGCTGACTAGGGGTGTAACGATACACCAAAGACACGGTTCGGTTCATTTCACGATTTTGGAGCCACAGTTCGGTTCGGTTTCTTTTTGCTGTGCGGTTAGGGTTTATTTCATCTTAACAGCAATGCTAAGGAACAATAGACTTAAAAACAACTTAATAACAACAACATCTAAACTTTTTTTTATTAACTTGCCATCACATTTTACTACAATAAGGATACCCAAGGAAACAACAAAAATTAAATAAAAACCTCAATTAAAGAATAGTAAGAAAAAAACAATTCTCTTCAGTGCAGCCATCTTAACTAAGTAAACTAGAATTAAATAACTGCAGTGTAGACTAGTGAAAGATCAACAGGCTTGTCCTCTGTAAGGACATTTGGAATATTCCATTAAAGGGGGGTGGTCCACTATGATATTATATTTTAAACTTTAGTTGATGTGTAATATAGGTGTGTGAACATAAACAACATCTCTGAATGTAAAAAGTTCCAAGTTCCATGCAAAGGGCGACCTTTGTTTTTACAGAGTTAGCTTTGCAAAGCCTACAATGAACGAATTTTGGGGACTACAAAAAATACTTCCGCCCCCTGTGACATCACAAAAGTTCATTACTGCGCAAACGCTATAGCAGAGATAAAGCTAAAAATGTGTCTAAACACGACTGTTTTCACAGAGCTTCGTCTGTTTCTGTATTTGGGCTCATAAAGGACACGACACAAAGACAGAAGTGCTTACAGTTCAATATTAATTATGTTCCAGAGAATTCTAAAATACACAGCAAGCATGATTTGACAAAACAGCTCCAGAATCTCTCCCAGTTCAGTGCTGGATTTGGCTAAAATCTCCTCAACAGAAGATGTCAGGTACAACCAGTAAGTGTTTTTATTTGTTAAAATTGATCATGACATGTACAGTGTCTAGTGTTATCCGAATGCTGTGGCAACGATGTAAACAATGCGAAATACTGCTTTGCGGGCAAATGATTGAGCTACATATTCATATTTATCAGTCAAACTGCTGTAAACACACACACACACACTCAACCAGCACGTTCGTGTCTCTTATGTGTGTGCGCACGGGACTGCACTGATTGTCTTCAGGCAGCTTTTCCATGTGTTTCACATGTCAGATAATGAAGTCGCAAAAGATATGTGGATGATTCATATTACTTATACCTGCATATTCCAGATACAGAACAATTAATCCAGGCTCAAACAGGTAGCATCCCACATCGTGTGCTTTATTCTTCTGTCACGATATATATTACAGAAAATAACTGAATCGGAGCATCAGGGAAAAAGAAAGTCCAGCGCACATGCGCTTGTTACAGAAAGTTCACAAATTCACACACACACACACACACACACACACACACACACCTACACACACACAGACACAGACATAGATGGAGACAACATTCACACCACACATACACGCAAACGCTATTAAAGGTGCCGCACCCCAGTTTCACTCGTTACAGACACTGTCAGATTTTATTATAAAGAGCAGGCAGAAGGCTGACTGAGGTTTACACAGCAGAAAAGCGCATGACATGGACCCGATTCGCCAATCGCAGCACATTATAACGATGACCAATCAGAGTCACTTAAGGGTGGGCCTTTCAGGGGAACAAGGAAATCTGACAGTCGTTTTGATGTTAGCTGAGTAGCTGTGCATAATCAAAGTGAGATATATGAAAAAATAACGCGATTTCCTTCAAGTGAAACATGAACACACACTGCTTTGCATCTTATAAACACAACCAAGCCTTAAAATTACATTGTGGACCACCCCTTTAAGTTTTAAGTTCTTTTTCAAAAACACCATAATGTCCACATTTATTAGGTAAGCCTTTTTGTCTGTGCAGACACAGACAGTGATGCTCATTTTTGATTATCTTAAGTTATCAGATAACTTAGATAGATAGGTTTCCATTTAAATAATGAATAAATATACATATGTACTTGTAAGGTGAAAAATCAAAAATCCTAAATCAATAAGAATTTCCTAGACAAGCAAAACATATTGTCTTGTTTTGAGAAATAATATGGCAATATTAAGAGTTTTTTCTTAAAACAAGCAAAATAATCTGCCAGTGGGGTAAGCAAAATAATCTTACGTCAAAAGAAAAAACAAGATTAATTTGCTTACCCCATTGGCTGATTATTTTGCTATTTTTACATTGCCATGTATAGGTTGTATTTTGCCTCCCGTTAGTTATGCATGTATGGCCGTTATATCCATGGGCGATGCGGATAATCCGATGGTCGGCTAATGAAAAAATACATTATAATTAATTGCGGGTGTATGTAGTGGCACATGGCAGTGGATCATCAAAAAAGCAGAATAGGAAGAAAAGCTTTGCAGAATAGGAAGATATGAGACGCCCAATAGTGATGGATGAAGTCAGTGCAAGAGTAGCCTACTGTTAAAAGTTTTAGTTGGAGGAGTCATCAGAGGAAAATTGCTCTTGTTCTGGGAGAAACAAAATCGGTTATTTCCACGACTGCAGCGCCTTGCGAGGAGAATCTTGTTCATTCCTACAACACACGGTGCAAGGGAATGCAGCTGGCCGAGGCGGAGATGGCGTAGGGATATAAAAAGGCCACCAGGAAGTACGGAGGAGAGCACTTTTTCCTTTAATCTCGTTTTTCGTGTGTTATGCTGACATGATTATGATTTTCGTTGTTTTTGATTAACTTTAGTTTGGGTAAAATTATTTAGCTTTATGTTTACCAACTTTGAGAATATTTTTGTTTTTTGTTCAATTTTATCTTGATTGATTTGTTAGTTATTATATTTAGATACACCTCCTCAAGTTCACTCTTTTCGCAGAGTAAGTTGGATAGGGAAGATGTCCTACAACTTCTATTTTGCAAACATGAAGAAAATGTATTGTTAAAGACATCAGGTAAGAGTTGAAGGTCATCTTTGTATTTATTTTATTCTACAGTTCAGCATAGGGAAGAATGCGGCGCTTGGCGCTCAAGACCTTTCCTTTTCATCAGTTTTTAGCGAGGTAAAGTGTTATTCATGAGTTAGAATTGTTTTGTTATATTTCTTTTTTTTTGTTTGGTTTCACTATCATCCCCTTACTCGAGTTT